CTATTTTACAACTTTCCTCTTAACATCAGAGTCCAAATGCCACCAACCCTGCTCTGAATTGTGACCTCCTGTGCTTGAAACAAGCTGCAGATTCTCTTAATATTCCTCCAGAGTTGCAACTTGGTCACAGAGCCATCCTTGCCCTAGAGGTAGGATTGTTGCAAGTAACTTTTCATCCAACATGGCAGCAGCCATCTCTGGTCTGGGTACTGTGAGAGAAAATTAGTGAAAGCGTCATTGACGATTGGTGCAGTCTCGGTAAACTCCAGGACCATGCTGCCCCCATCTGGAATTTGGTAGCATCATTGTATCCTTGGGCGTCGCAGGTCGGATTAGCCTTTTGTACACGAGGAAGATGTATGAATGACTGTAAAGTGTTCAAGGCAGTGTGCTTCAACGCCTGTAAATTTCCGATAATCAAACATTGCATATTCGAAATGTCTCATATTCAATGGTGTACTGCCTTGACATCTTCTTGTAATTATATAGTAATATTAATATTATTAATATTGATTACGAAAAGCAAAATATTATCAATGAAAATCTTGTAATTACCCAACAATGATCTACTCCACGTTTGATTCCAATTAAAATGTTTTATAAAAATACACCACATTATATCTGGTTAGTTATTAACACTTCTTCTTTAGGAGACCCAAACCAAACCAAACAACAACACTCACGTTTTGTCACCTTGGACTCTGTCAAAAAGTAAATTGTTTTTCCAAAAAAAAAAAAAAAAAATCAATTCGTGTCTGTCCTACCAAATAAACCAATAGGATAAATAATTAGTGTGTACGCGTCAATCGTATCACAAAACTTCTTTATCTTAAAACGATGCCACGCAACAAAGCAACTGATAGCAAAAGAAGTAAACAAACAGAAACAAGAAATGACAGGTAAGTGTTTTAAGGATGGTGGTGGTGGTTATTGCCCGCCACCTGTCGTCACTCTAGTTTTTTTGAAAAATTGGCATCATGGCACAAAAAGTTCAGCGACTAAGTGACTTGCACTATATTTTTATTCAGTCGGATACCACTAGAAGATGTTAGCAATGTTTATGATAAAGATAATGGAGATTCATGGGTTGGGTAAGTTTTTATCATAAGAATGGTGATGATTACAACACATCGTCACTCTAGTTTTCTATTAAAATCCCCTGGTTGATAAATGATCTGCGAATTAAAAATAATTAATCTTACAAATCTTTTTTAAGAAATAGTGAAATTGGTAAAGAATTAAACAAGACGAGAGTGGATTATGAAAAGGCGTTGAAGAAGTTGGAGCAGTTCGAGGAGGGGTGGAAAGAGAAGAAGATATGGGAATTGGAGGATAAGTTGGAGGACAGAAATTGGAGGAACGGAGATCAGAAGAAGGGTTGGGAAAGGCAAAGGGACGAATTAAAAAAGGAAAAAAAAGAGTTGAAAGAGGATAAAAATTGCTGGAAGGAGCAGATGAAGATTTTGCAAAATGCACTAGTTGAATTTAGCAAGAAAGGAGAAGGTAATGAACAAATTGCGTAAAAAATATACAAAAAATTATTTTCCATTTCGTTTATTTATTTATTTGATATATTGTTTACAATGCTAACTAACTTGTTTCTTCCTTGCAAATTGCACTAAGTTGTAGTAGGAAAAGTCAAACGTAAATTTGAGGAAGAAACAGAAGTAGAAGGTAAAGTAAAATCATTTAATATTCCTCATAAAGTTTGATAATGTGAAACAAAATAAATTTATCAAATATTTTCCTTCATAATAGGTCCAATTAATAAATTAATAAAAATAAGCAAAAAAAAACGACCAAGTGCATCAAAATTTGCAGAAAAAGGTAAATGGGAATCCTTGTTGAGTGATGATGATCCTCCTTTTTATATTTGCCGTCCAACTGGAAAATTTGATATTCCATTGACACTATGTCACCCTGTTTTTGAAAAGTTCATGCTTGATTGTGAATCAACATCATTTGATGATGAAAGAAAAGAAAAAATTTTCAAGTTAGCAAATCAAAATAAAGAAAAATAAAACATCAATCAAAGATACATCAGTAAGCAAATTATAATATCTTCAAATAGATAAATTAATTAATGGATTTATACTAACCATAACTTTACTATACAATTGTTTATTTATGATTACAAGCATAAGAAACCACGAAGGCAAGATTTCAATATTTGTTATAGTAGTTACTTATATTCTCTATGGTTAATTTATACCATTTTTATTCAGTCGGATACCACTAGAAGATGTTAGCAATGTTTATGATAAAGATAATGGAGATTCATGGGTTGGGTAAGTTTTTATCATAAGAATGGTGATGATTACAACACATCGTCACTCTAGTTTTCTATTAAAATCCCCTGGTTGATAAATGATCTGCGAATTAAAAATAATTAATCTTACAAATCTTTTTTAAGAAATAGTGAAATTGGTAAAGAATTAAACAAGACGAGAGTGGATTATGAAAAGGCGTTGAAGAAGTTGGAGCAGTTCGAGGAGGGGTGGAAAGAGAAGAAGATATGGGAATTGGAGGATAAGTTGGAGGACAGAAATTGGAGGAACGGAGATCAGAAGAAGGGTTGGGAAAGGCAAAGGGACGAATTAAAAAAGGAAAAAAAAGAGTTGAAAGAGGATAAAAATTGCTGGAAGGAGCAGATGAAGATTTTGCAAAATGCACTAGTTGAATTTAGCAAGAAAGGAGAAGGTAATGAACAAATTGCGTAAAAAATATACAAAAAATTATTTTCCATTTCGTTTATTTATTTATTTGATATATTGTTTACAATGCTGACTAACTTGTTTCTTCCTTGCAAATTGCACTGAATCGTAGTAGGAAAAGTCAAACGTAAATTTGAGGAAGAAACAGAAGTAGAAGAAGGTAAAGTAAAATGATTTAATATTCCTCATAAAGTTTGATAATGTGAAACAAAATAAATTTATCAAATATTTTCCTTCATAATAGGTCCAATTAATAAATTAATAAAAATAAGCAAAAAAAAACGACCAAGTGCATCAAAATTTGCAGAAAAAGGTAAATGGGAATCCTTGTTGAGTGATGATGATCCTCCTTTTTATATTTGCCGTCCAACTGGAAAATTTGATATTCCATTGACACTATGTCACCCTGTTTTTGAAAAGTTCATGCTTGATTGTGAATCAACATCATTTGATGATGAAAGAAAAGAAAAAATTTTCAAGTTAGCATGTGCAATGGGAGATACTTATGATTCAGAAAATGACAGGGAAAAAGAATTTGAAAATAAACTTAACAGTTTTTTGGGGTATAATATAGATGGAAAAGATAGGAAGAAGAGGAATTGTAATGAAGAAGTTAGATTTGATGCATTAGTAAAGTTAGAATATTCAAAATCAGAAAAGGATGCCTTGTTAGTAGGATTCGAATACAAAAATGAATCATCAAAGGTAGATCCATATGTGCAAATCAGCACATACTACCAAGAATATGTGGTTCAACATGCCGAAGATGATGAAGATCTTATCCTGAATACTTGTATTCCATGTTTTCTAGTTTGTTTGCATGGTGCACGATTTGAGATTGCAGGTGCTGTATTTGGGGAAAGGGTTACAATATGTCCTTTAATAGCAGAAAATCTTGTAGTCAGACCTGATTTTTTTGAATCATGGATAAATCGACTGACAAGAATATTTTGTTCTTTACATGAGGCGATTAAAACTTTGGAAAAATACTATAGTGAATGTTTATTAGTTCCAGAAAAAAAGATTGATAGAAACGTGGGAAGGTTTCCATGGATAAGGTCATACACAAAGGATTCTTTAGTGGTATCTTTTCAATACAAAAAATGTTGTGTTGACATTTTACAAAGTCTGGTGTATCTTGTAGAAGAGAATGATGATACAAAACACATAGTCAAGTTTTCTGAAACTTATGGTTATGATGCACACAGTTTCTGTGCTGAACATCAAATAGCACCAAAAATCATTCATTATTCAGACATAAATTCTGGGTATAAATTTATTGTAATGCAATATCTTGATGGATATGAGACTATAAATTCATTGTTTTCGAAAGTAAAAAAAGAAGATTTGAAGGAGATAAAAAATTCTATAAAACTTGCTGTAGGAATATTACATGACAAAAACTTTGTTCATGGAGATTTTCGACTAAATAATATACTTGCTAAAAAAGTAGAGGATAGATGGGTTATAAAAATTATAGATTTTGAATGGGCAGGTCCAGAAGGAAAAATTAGATATCCGTATGTGACCATGAATCCAAAGATCAAATGGCACAATGAAGTGAAACCTGGAAATTTAATTAGAAAATCACATGACATACATTTATTAGATGAAGGCTTTATTACTCCTCAATGATTAAAAAATTTTTATTATGTATTTTTACATTTGCATTGAAGAAATTATTTTTAATTGAAAATAAATAAATGTAATAGAATTTATTTATGTTAATTGCCATATTCCCTATTATAACAAAAATAGATAAAGTTTCTGTATATCCAAATTCTGTTAACCCATACTCAAAATAGCCTTTATGTTAAAAAAATCATTAGATAACAAAATAGAGATATAAATTTTTGAAGGTAACTATTTGCTTATTCATAAAAAACCTACAAAGTGAACATGAAATTATAAAATTATATATGGGGCATACTGCAACAAAACCAGACAAAGTGAACATTGGTATTACCAAGAATTTCAGGGATCAAAATCTAGTATAATGTGATTATTAAAATTTCCCATTTGCTATCTTAATATTAAGTGATATATAGAATTACCTCTATATAAAAATAGTTAATATGAAACTAATTTACATCAGATCTACTATGGAACCCAAGAATTATAGTACTATCAGAAGTATTTTGAAGAAGGAACAAGGGGAAAAAATTGCACCTTATATTTTCAAAATAAATGATACTCAGACATTGGAAACTTATCTAAAAAAAGAAAGGATTACCTATGAAATTTACCAAGAGGAAAGAAAAACAATAAATGTTGGAAAAAGAAAGCATCATGATGATGCATTATTGCACAACAAAAAGCAAAGATCTCTAGAAGGAAAATAATAGGAACAAATTTATTATTTATTTCTAAAAAAAATAGATCATTGAGACTTGATATTTATTGAACGTACTAAACAGACAAACAGATATATACTAATTATTTTTAGAGAGAATTATTGATTATTACCAAAGATTGATAAGATGAAATTACAAAAATTATCTTGAGAAACTGAGATTTATTGAATGTACTAAAACAGATTACGTATACAAGAAATTTCGTGTTTCTTGATTTTTTAATAAAAGTCTGAGAAATTTTTTTTTTGCTGTAGTGTATCATTTGGTCGAATAAAATCTACTAAATAAAACAAATAAGCAAATGTTTTAAAAATTTATTTTTTATTAAAAAAAAGAAGTAAAGAAAAAATTTAAAATATATAAATATGATTGATTTTAGACTGAGGTAGATTTATCAAAAAAAAATTTTAATTAATTAAAAAAATACTATTATTTTTAATAAACTTTAAAGAAATGGTGTTTAATTTGAAATCCATTTGTGTGATTTGATTCAATCATTAACACTAAAGGAACGAAATAGGTTCGGAATTATTAACATCAGGAAATTTTTTCCGACATAATATTTGTGTTTGTAAGATTTACAATAAACAAACTATTGCAAGCACGATAACATCTAAAATTTTTTTGGGACGCAACATTACAGGACGTAGACTTAGGCTGGACCCCGTAACGTTACATAAATATTACGTCAGGAAAATTTTTCATGATGCGAAGCTAATGCCATTGTGGGAGTAGAAAAACATTAATGATAATAACAAAAATACTATTTTAATATTATTTAAATGCTTTTAATAATAACGCTCACAATTCTTTCATCATTGTTGATAATAATAAGTTAATGGAAGGTGTAATTTATGAATATCTAGAAGTTGGTTACAGATGAAATTAAATTTTAGATTATCGAAAGTAAAAATCCTGCTCTCCATTCCTATCCAATAAGTATGCAAGCAGAAATTGCGAAAGGTCATATCTTCGGTGTAGAAAAGAATATTCTAAGGGTAATTTTATATATATTCGATATCAAAAATGATTTAAATTAATTTCAACTACCTAAAAATTCTCTACAACTTATTCATCTCAAAATTCATATTGTAATATAGAAACATGAAAAACCAGTAACAAATGACCACATAACAAATAAAATAAAAAAAAAGGAATGTTATATAAAAATAAATCCAACAACATCAATATCAACAATGTTTAATGAAATAAAATGTATTCATGACTTGATTATATGATAAAATAAATAATAACTGTCAACTCACCAGAAAAAAAGAATTAATTTTTTTTAATATAGTTATTTATTATTATTTATACATCCATTTATCGATAAAAAAAATCACTTTAAAATAAAAGAATTACACATTAAAAAAGGTGGTGGTGATTATTGAGATTAACCTGTTACTCGCGCTACTCTAGTTTACATATAAGAAATTTTAAATTTTTTTTTAAATAGTGCAAATACCAATGATAATACATCATTTTCAATATTAAAAACAAAAAAAATTTATTCATTATTAGATAAGAATTTTATTTATATATAAAAATTTTTGAAAAAATTATTAAAAATTATACAAAATATTAACGAATATATGACTTTTCAATGAGGTGTAAGTCATGTTCATGTTTAATGTGACTACCATAATGCGCATCTTCATGGTATTCTGTGTATTTTTCATCGAGAATTGATAACGGGTACTTTGCTTCATTTAAAGTTCCTGCCCAATCAAAGTTAACTATTTTAATTGACCATTCTGTTTTATACATTTTTGCCATTATATTATCAATTCTCATATCACCATGTACATATTTAGCAGAATGGATATTCTTGATTGCACGGTTAATCTTTGATTTTAAAGTCTCTCTGTCATCTAAGGAGAGCAAACGCCATATTTCTCTTACGCATTTGTACCCCTGTTCTTCAAGGTCTTCCATAACCACTAATTTATATTCTGATAAATTAATTGTGTTTATGGCAAATAATTCTGGTGCGAACCCGTTTGTATAAAACTAGAGTGACGGCAAGTGGAGACAATCAACATTCTTATGATAAACACTTACTCATTTCTTTCGTTTGGGTCCGTATTCTCTTTATTTCTTTTTTTTTGTTGTTTTCTGTCGTCTGGCATTGTTTTTTTTAAAATTAAAATTAAAAAAAATTTGTTGATCGATCAACAACGCGTACACATTATTTATGGTTTTTTTTTGTTGATTTTTTTTTTTTTTTTTTTTTTACAATTTATTTTTTAACGTGACGCGTTAACAACTAACCAGATATACTTTTTTTTAATTAATTGATGTCTTTTATTTTATATAATGTATATTATTGAAATCAAAACGCGGAGCAGATCTCGCTGGGTGATTATAAGATCCTCATCAAGATGGTAAACAATTGGTATTTTGCTTTTGTAATCAATATTATTATTATTATTATTATAATATATAATTACAAGATGTCAAGGCAGCATTGACTGTTGAAAATGGAACATTTCAAATATGAAAACATTTCGATATGTAACTTTTGAATATTGGAAATTTACAGATGTTGAAGCACGCACGCTACCTTGAACACTTTACAGTCATTCTCATCTTCCTTATGTATAAAGGCTAATCTGACCACGGTGCTCCCGATGATACAATGATGCAACAGAATTCCAGGGGGGGGCAAGGCTTTGGAGTTTACCGAGATTGCATCATCGTCAAGGACGTTTTCATTAATCTTCCCTCACAGCACCCAGACCAGAGAAGGCTGCTTGCATGTTAGCTGAAAAGTTTCCTGCAACGATTCTACCTCTAGGGTAAGGATGGATCTATGTCCAAGAAGTCGCAACTCTGGAGGAACATTAAGAGAATCAGCAACTCGTTTCAAGCACAGGAGGTTGCAATTCAGGGTGGGTTGGTGACCCTGAAATTGCATTTGGGCTCTGATGTTAAGAGGAATGTCGTAAAATAGTGTTTCTTTTGTATAATTATTTTCCTAAATTCTCTGTTTCTTTGATACCAACCAATTTATAATTTTGGGTAGGGGGATTTTCCCCTGTCCTATAGATTAAAATTGTAACATGATTATATATATCTTTGTCAGTAATATGGCCAACAAGGAAAAAGTTATAAAATATTTCGGATTTTGGTATGTTCCATATAAATTAATCATTTCTGTTTCTTTAATTTTTATTTGACCAACTGAACTTGTTATTTAAATGGGGGTAGGGTTGTTGGTGAGTAGGTGCGCCACCAACAAGACAACAACCCAGGACTCAAAACTCTGAATTCAGGGAAAATCCAAAACAGCAACTTCCCAAGTTGCTGAATTTTCAAACCAATTGCAGACACCAACTTTATTCTAGAGAGGTATAACACAAAGCAATCATCACACAAATGCCGATCCTCATCAGTGATCAATGCCCATATGGAAACAGCAAGCCTGGTCTGAGGGGAAGATAAGAGAAGTTTTGTCCAAAGCCCTCCAACTTGTTCAGGGTGGCTTTCACCTGTGGGAAAAAATTCCATGGTGCTGAATTGTGCTTAATTGCACAACGCTGCATGTTTGTGATAGGAAATTTTTATTAAATCTGACACTGTGATCAACATCAGATTTATTATTCATAAGGAACTATAATTGATAATCAGGAAAATAATTTATTCTTGTGAACCCCAGAGATCTGGGTATACATGCATTATTAAAAGTTTCATTTATGCATGGCCTTGGTATTATTACTACCTGAGTGATGCAATTGTTTGTTATGTCAATGATGATATCAAATGTATTGAATAGATGACGGATACCCGCGGATCGCATCACTAGTCCTGCACTATATTAGAGACGTAGTGGATATGACATAATTATTGATTTGATAGTGTGATGGCTCCCCTCTCCCCACATCGGTCACACAATTTACAAAAAATTTTCTTATAGATTCATTGAAACAAGGTTTGAACACTACTAAAGCTCGAACGGGTCAGGTTCGGGTTGATTTCGGGCCAATAAGAAAATTTTATGATTTACATAAATTTAGGTAAGTTTTATTCACCTAAATTTTATTAATTTAAATATAAAAGGCGAAATAACTATATTGGTTTTAAAAGGTGATGCAAGGGATGTAAGTGTGAAAGGAAGACGTTCCTACCATTTAATTGCTTAGGAAGTATAAAAATCAAAAGTCATGGTATCCATTTGATCTAAATATAAACATGAAAATTTATGTTGTAAAACTGTTGCTAAATATTGGGGTACCTTCAACAATCCGTAAACTTGATTTCTTAAAAACACCTGAATATCCTTGAGAACTAGAAATTGATATTCCCTATTACCACCATGGTTTTGCAAGGGATCCCAACACAAAAAATATATAGAATTCTTTTATAGTGAAGATTCAATTGATTTCGTCAGATAGCAAACGTGAGATCTACCCAAGAAAGAATTATGCGAAGAGAATTGGATTTCCTAAGGAATGTTTGGTATTATGAGGATTAGTGTTGGTCGCCAAAACTATTTTGAAGAGATGAAAGTCAAAACTAAAATCAAAAGTTATATATCAAATCTAAATCAAAAGTCAATAGTCAAAAATCAAAACTAGTTTCGACTTCTGGTGAAACCTTTTGACTTTCGCACGGTTGCGAAACTTTCTAGTTTTGGAAACCAACACTAATGAAGATCCGCATATAATAATTCCAGAGTATCTTCGAGAATTGGGTCTCGTTGAATAAATTAAAACTTTAAATGCTCCATGATCATTATACTCGGATGCATTAATTTTTTGATCCCACACCCACACCACACTGCATATACGCGTACATAGTTAAAAAAGATGCTATAATTTGGCTAGAAGTGTATCAATATTTAATTTAATTTTTTTTTACATTTGGAGAAACTTAGTCTTTATGAAGAATTTATGAATTTGGCTGTAAAACAATCCTCATTTCGAAAAAGACTATCAATAAAAATAAATTCAAACGGAAAATGTACTTTTTATTGGTGTAAATTAAAAAATAATTTACAAAATGTTGGTAATATATGATTCTCTGTACAAATGGATGAAGCAAAAATTTAAAAATCATGTGACTGCCGGACATGTTTTACGTAGGATTTTTCTTCTTGAGCAAAAAATCTATCCTCTAAAATAAGAACACCATATATATTTTCCACCAGAACCCTCGGATAAATCCTGATTTATTCTTGTCCATGAAACACCTTTCTTTCATAACTTTCCTTACTTTCACTGACACAAAAATCGATTTCTATGATAGGGTTTAGCTCATTTTCCCCCTTATTCCAAACCATATAAATGAATTTGCCTCCCGCACCTTCGCTCAAGTCATGGTAATTCCAGAATTCCCAACCGACTGGTTTTTCTATTTGTTTATCTGAGAAAGCGAGAAACCGTAAGGAAGTTACCGCATTTTTATGATTTTCAGAGATGATTCTCTCACGTTTACGTCCGACATATATGAATTTTCCGCCATGACTTTCGTTAAGATCTTGCAGGTGCATTTCATACCCATTGAAGTGATCAGGGCAATCTTTATTATTAGAGGTGTAAACTATGAAATCAGTAATCCATGTTGTCATTTTGTCAACTAGGAAAAAATACCAAGTGCTTGTCTGTATATATGAAAATTTATTTTGTTGCACAGATCTGTTGGGTGATTAGCATTATTGGTCGGACAAATGTATCAACTGACTGATTACATATGCTAGATAGAATGTTCGATTTTTCATGAATTTTTGATTGAAATAATAATGTGAGGAGGGCCCGAAAACTGAGGTTACTCGAAAATTTTCCAAAGGTTTTTAATAATAAAAATTTACCCAAGCTGATAATAATCTTCTATAATGATTTTACCCAAAAATAGGTGCTAAATTTTTTTATTATTTTGAATTTTATAAAACTTATAAATTTTTGCACTATATTAATTAAATTGTTTAAATATTCTCTTCTTTCAAAACATCCAAAGAATTTCCTGACACTGATAGAATCCAAGAAAGTTACAATAATCATACTAGTTAAATTAAATCAATGTCAAAATAATATATTAATTGATTTGATATGTGCATTTTTGTGAAAATAATCTAATAAATGAAATTACAGAAATATAAGATAAAGGGGATCTCGGAAACTTCTAATTGAGGTACCAATCAATGATTTTTATATTAAGTTTATCCAAGGGTTTATATAACAAATTTATCCTGTTAATATTAGTGACATTTTTTTTAACACTACTAAATTTACCCATTTTATATCTTTTTTTATTATATATTTATTACATTAAAAAAGGGGAATTTGGTCTTTGGATATTGTGTGTAACTGTGCACTTTTTTAAAAATTTTACTAATTGATTTACCCAAACATAATAATGACCTCAAAAAAAAAAATTTATATCAATTTTACTCATTCTTAATTGGACATAAAAAATTTTTACTCTTGGACCTTTTAATGTATGCACCCTATCAATAACAGTGAGACTTTTCACTTTTCTATATTAATATGTTTTTTGCCCTTGGTTTTCTGGGGACCTCAATTAGAGGTTCCGGGTCCTGTTTTGATAATGATATCCTGCAAGTGTAAGTTATTCTGCCTAAGATGACTTTCCAAATCATTTAAGGACTGGTGATATTTCCTCCCATTAATTGACTGATGTAGAATCCTTAATGCTATCACTAACCCCATATAATAGTCATTAATCAACATCCTTTCTGCATGATCTGGTGGTGAGCTATAAATATCCCATGCAAAAACCCTTCCACTGAAAATATCTTGTATTTGCATGCTCTGTTTCATTGCTGTCAAAAAACCATGTTGTATTAACGTCATTTCCCTATTCTTAGTGCTTCAGACTTTGATATAATTTCCTGGGTGATTCAAGAGCATCTGCAGGACAAGATTAGGAGGAAGATTATGAAATTGGCTCCAAATCTTGATATTTTCAGTAATCAATTTCTCAAATGCCTCCATTTCCATTTCTCTACCAACAAAATGAAAACAGCTGCATAAGATATGTCATCTGAAAGTTCAAATGAACCAAGTGCAAAGATATATAAATGTTAAATGAATAGCAATGGTCAACCAGCATACCAATGTTCACTCAAATGAGTAAATAAATTAATGAAAATGATTTTTTGTATATTTTTTATGCAATTTGCTCACTGCATTTATCTTCAAATACTAATTCTTTTCCTAGTGTCTTCCCCATTTCAACACTTCATCTACCCACTTATTCTTCTCTTCCTTCTCCAAATGTTATCTTTCACCAATATACTTTTTTACTCTTTCTTCTCCAACCTATTCAATTTCTTCATATTCCTTCTTTGCATCTTCTAACTCTTTCAATTTTTTCATTAGTTGTCATTTTTTAAAAAAAATTTTTATTGATTGTTAGTAAAGCTGCAAACCGTTGACCCAAAAATTTCAGGCATTCTAAATTCGTCAACTACACAAAAATATACATAATAACTTCACAAAAAAAATTATAATAACTTGTAGCTTGGTTTTAGTAAATGTGTGTTGCGAAGTAGAGATGCTGGAAGAATCCTGTTTCTAAATACATACATAGTCTATAATACCAAGGTTTAGGATTTTAAAAACTCCCTAAACTAATTTAAGGAGGTTTCGGATACGGGTTTTCCCTAAACTCGGAGTTTAGGGCCACAACTGTATTCATAATACTACTTATTCTAATTTTAATATTAGTTCGAATTATTCAAATTATTCGCCTTGTTCATTTTATTTGCTTTATTCGAATTACTTGTAACCAGTTAAAGTAGGTTAAAACGTAGATCACTTTTAATTCGCGATTTGTGATAAATGGAAAAAGGGTCTACATGCAAGTTAAAACTCCACTTTAATTGTAAATCTTTATTTCAGTAGGTGAAATGAAGCTACGTTCACATTATCGGCTAAATGGAAGAGAATGGTAAGTAAAGGTGAGATACAACTAAATTCTATTGACTATTATTATTATATTTTATTGAGATAATATAACAGTTGATTAATAATGAGCAGACATAAGAATTATTCATTAAATCATCAGATAGCATTTTTTGTAATATACATATTTATGAGGCATTATTAAAATCACAAATTACATAGTTTTGACAAATAAAAATTTTTTTATCATATATTTAACCGGCTAATTAACCGGTTGGGCTTTTTGTCCGATCCCAACCTTTAACCCTAACGACGTTCTATTTTTTCATCATATATAAAATCCATTGACTTCGCCAACTTTTTAAACACATGTAAACTCTTATTGTTACAGTTTATAAACTACGACGCGCCTTTGAGTAATTAAGTCTGTGCGTCCAGGAAAAACTCGTTCAACTGGACACTAGTTGCTATAATAAGTTTATTAGATTAGAAATCAACAAATTTAATCTTAAATAAGCAGAATGCAAAAATTAGAATACCAGGGACTGTCAAGCCTAAAACTCCGAACGGTTCAGTCAAACCGAAACTGAACCATTCGGAACTTTAATCATTGTGTATTAGTGCTGATTATAATCCATTCGAAAAACAAATTATTATTAAACAAATCTTTCTTCCTCTCATGGATAATAAAGTGACATTACGAAAATTTAATCATCAAATCAGTAAATTATTATCAACAGATGATGAAGCAGTAATCGTTAAATATTGTAATTCAGTCGAAAAAGAATTTTACGAAGCCAGTATATCATATCCAGAATTTTCTATATGGTTGCCTAAATTTTATGGAAGTTTACATTAATAAATCTAGTTGACAATATTAATGATAAAATAACAATAGTGGCGATGGCATGAAAATAACTTATTCTTCGATAATTAGACAAGAAGTAAAAGAGCAAAATTCATTACAGGAGTTGAAAATATCCTTTGGAATATATATATATTAGGAATGTATTAATGCTAATTAACATTATCTATTATCTTTAATTATAATATACGCCATATGTATAGAGTATTTTATATAGCTTTAAAAAAAACCATGTACTCGACTATGGGAGCGAAGCAAAAAAAAAACAAAAATGATTAAAAGAGCTTTAATGACTACATCAGCTTCATTAGGAGTCAAAATTCTTTTATCTTTAGTCAAAGTAAAAGAGAACACCTTTCGAGATATATGAACAAGAGTCGCCCTATTAAAATAAATGGCTTGTTGGCAAATTATGTGTTAAACAGACAAATCTATTTTTATTTTGTTGACATTTATCAACTGAAATGTTTTCGTATTGCCAGAAATACTATTATATAAATATAATATACCATGTTGGATTACTGATTGCATCAGTCAATATGCCCTGGAAATTGATTTAAGCTCTTGGTGAAAGCCATTTCTAGTATTAGCAAATTTGATCATAAGGTCCACTAAACATTAAGCTTGTGTGGATTTATATTTAATTATATATAACAGGCAGTATTTGATAATTAATTATATTAATATGTAATACATTGTATTAAAACCGTTTGTGGGGTTTTAAATGAGTCCATGATTTAGGCACAATTACCTACAAAGAACACTAACACATTTTATTTTTAGTGCAAGCAACGTTCAGTAACAAGGGTGGTAAATAAATAATCGAATATGGCGATAATGTGTATATAACAAAACCAATGACCTCACGATTCACGCATTATGTTTTTGATTCTGCCAATTAATAAAAATCTCGGCAAAAAGATGGCATATTTGCAGATGGAATTGAGAGATAAATTTAGCAGATAAGAATACCATCTACAGATTTCAAACTCTAATGAAAATCCAAGTTTTTATGTAAGTTGTTATTGTAATTCTATTATTTCTGTGATTCAGTTTACAAACAGGATGGCTTTATACGGACAAAAATACCAAAAAATACATCCACTTTGGTTTTTAAATGTCCATATTTTTTATTAATATGTATAATGTTTAATAACCGGATATTTTTTATATTAGTATAATGATGATAAATGCAATACCGAATATGGCCAATAACATTACACCTCGTGACGAAAGTTCTTTTTTGTTCAATTACTCGACAACCTTTTCTATTGATTCTTATTTATTAAATATTTATAAAACAGTTGTTATTTATCAAAAAAATTTAAAATCGACCAGGCCTTCTAAATCCACCTCCACGACCACCTCCACGACCACCCCCACGACCACCCCCACGACCACCACGATTATTATTTCCAAAATTGCCACCACCACCACCACCCCATCCTCTACCACCACCACGACCACCTCTTTGCATACCACCACCTCTTCCACGACCTTAAATCAGAAAACAAATCAATAAATGTTTATAATAAATGAATATTAATGTACAAAAGGTTATCATTACCACGATCACCAACTTTCCTCCTTGGCCCTATTTATTGATTGGTTCAAAAAAACAATTGTATTTACTTGTTATAAAGAAAGATAAAGAAAAAAAAAGGATAGGACATGAGGAATTTAAAAATATAATATATAAAATACAAAAATAAAAAATATATATATATATTATATACAATAGAAAGAAAGAAAGAAAAATATAATTTTATACAAAAAGAAATAAAAAGGAAGTAGGTTGAAGACGTTGATATTTAAATAAAAAAAATTTTATAATAATAA